TGAAGATTTGGGTTGTATTGTTTATTGTATTATAGATGGTTTTGGTTATTATTTATTGTTTATTTGTTTATGTTTTTATTTTTTTATTTGTTTGATATATTTTTTTGATTTTTGTTTTTATTTGATTTATTTTTTTATTTTTTTTTTATTTTTTTTTTTTTTTTGATTTTTTTAATTTTATTATTAAGATTTTTAATTATGAGAATGGGGGGCGGAATTGGGGAGAATTTAATTTTATTTTTATTACAGAATTTATAGTTCTAATTATCACTTTATTTTATTTTACTATTTTATTATTAATAATATTTGCCCCCCCCCTTTCAAATCTATTCCTGATTAGGGTAATCATAAGGTAAACTATATGGAAATTTGAGGTCATATATTTTGATTTATTTATATTTTAGTGATAGTGGTAAAAATGACGATAGGGTGGGGGTAAAGGTAGGAAAGGAGAGGAAAGACAGGTGTTCTATAAAGAATTTGGTGGAGGACGGTCCGACACAATATAATTGATATAAAATATATGTTTATAAATTTCTTTACTAATTAATATAAATCAGAAGTTAAAACAGACGAAATAATATTGATTTTTAGCAAAAATTATATTGATTTATTGGATGGTGTTACACCCACCAAACGACGCCCGCATATTGTCTTTTTATACCTACCCCCCCCCCCCCAACCCCCCCGCCCAAAACCCAATATATATAACCCCCCCCCTTATTAAAGCCCTCCGGGATAATATTCGAAGACAAGCTTATAGTTAGAACATATAAAAATGGTTATATGGCCGTTAGAATGGTTTTAATAAGTTGGTTTTAATTTATGCATGACCGTGTGTTATTTGGGTCGATTTTTTTTTTTTTTAACTTCATCTAATGTTATGTGTTTGAACAAAAATAATTATGGGTTGAAGGCGAATGGACGCTATGTTTATTTCAGAAATAAGATTTAAATATATTAACTAATAAAAATAATATATAATAAATTAAATTATAAAAAATTAAAATGACTTAATTTAATAAATTATTTATATTTTTATTTATTGGTTTTAATTGGAATAATATTTTAAATATAATTTTAGTAAGAATTAAATTATTTTTTCGAGAATTAATAAATGCGAACCGTTTCGAAGATTGTACTCGATATAGAGCTCGAAAATAATTATATATAATATAAATATATTATAAAGTTATAAATCAAATTAAGATTAAATTAAAATTAAATATATTCATTAATAATATTAAAATAAATTAATAATAATAATATTGTATAAAAAATAGTATAAAAAAAGCCAAGAGAAATAATATAAATAAAATAAAATTATACATAAAAAAAAATATAAATAATAATAAATAAATATAAATAATAAAAAATAATATAAATAATATAAATTAAAAAGTATATATATAATATATAATTGCAAACCTTAATAAAAAAAAAAAATGATTAAAAATTGAAAAAAAAAAATGATCTAAAAAAAAATAAAAACAGATAAAGACAGGCAGGGATATAGAGGTAAACAAAGGCAAGCAGAGGCAGAGCGAGATCTAATCTTAAAGGTTAGAACACCAAAGATAACACAGAAAAGGTTATAACAAACAAGATATGCACCAAGTAAAAAAGAAAACACACAAAATAAAGTTATAAACATAAATAAGTATATATAAAGAAGACTGGATAACGGCAGGTCTTGATTCCGCGTAACGGCAGTGTTGAGAAGTGTCATAGTGAAAAATACCACAATCTAACCCTATGTGGCAAAGCAAAACAGCGGAACCAAGAATACCGCAAAGGAAGTGCGCAAAAGAATATGGAAGGCACATATTCGAGTATTGTAAAAACAGGCCTATATATTTAATCCACAGACAGAAACGTAAAATTAAACATAAGTATTAAAATAAAGTTAATAATAATCGATGTAATAAAAATAATAAGTTTATATAGCAGCAAGTAATCCAAACGACAACAAAAAAAACTAAAATACGAAACAGGGCACAACGTAAGTATAGTAGAAACAAATATAAGGAAAAAAAAAATAAAGCCAGTAAAGTTAGCAGCCGAAAAAGGTAAATAATGAAAGGTAAATAGGCAGAGATAAGCAAATAAACAGAGATAAATAGAATAAAGGCAAACAATAATATAGGAGTAGAATACAGTAAATAAAATAAAAAAAAAAAAAAGTAAAATACACAAAAATAACGAAGATAAGAAAAAAAAAAAGAAAAAAAAAAGAAGAAACAATAAAAAAACTTAAAAAAAAAAAAACAGTAAAACATAATAACATAAAATATAAACAAAAAAAAAAAAAAACAAATCAATAAAAAAATAAAATACCAAAAATAATAAAAAAAAAAGATAAATTTAAACAATAAATATAAATAATAAAAATTAAACATAAAATACAACCAAAAAAATGATTATTAAAATATGAAAAAAAAAAAATCTAAAAAAAAACAAAAACAGATAAAAGGCAGGGGTAGGCAAAGGCAGGTAATAAGCAGAAAAGTAAAAACAAAGCAAATAAGGTCGTTATTAAACAAAAGAAAAGGTAAATAGAAATAAGTAGAAATAAAATAAAATGAATAAAAAAAAATAAAAAAAATACGAAAAATAATAAAAAGAAAATAAAAATCAAAAAAAAAATATTTTGTAAAAAAATATAAAAAAAATGATGAAACAACACACAAAAAACAGAAACAAACAAAAACAAAAGAAATAGGCAGAGGAGTTAGAAGAGTAAAGAAACAACCAACAACAGAGATAATGTAAAATAAATAGTAGGCAAAAGCAAGCAACAAAGGTAGGCAGAGGCAAAAGAAGTAAGCATAAGGAATCATAATCAGGCCGCGCGCGCCACAAAACCCCAGCCCAGAATATAGCAATATACCAGGGCGGTCTATTTTACTAAGAACGAAAAGAAATCCAAAAGAGTTCGGCTCTAGAGAGGTAAAAACAGGCAGAGGTAAAAGACAAATAATTCAATAAAATAAAAAAAAAAAACAAAAAAAAACCAAGCAGTCAACCAAATAAGCAAGTAGAGACAAAGAGAAGCAAGAAGCCCCTCTTCCCAATGCCCCCGCCCCCCCCCCTAAAAAATGAAAAAAAAGTAGCTCCTGCAAAGAAAAACAACCCCACAAACGAAGAACAACCAGAACGCGTAAGTAGATACAACAAGTAGTTATCCCCCCCCAACCACAAACACAACCCCACACACCTCAGAAACAAATACCATGGAAATCTAACAAATACGCGGAATAGGTATAATAATAAACCACCCCCAGATAAGCAAATAAGAATAAAGGCACCATAAATAGAATAAAAGGCAAGAATACCCCCCCCACGCCCAATAAAATAATAAATGAGTAAATAAATGATAAAATAATAAGTAACTAAAAAAAAAAAAAAACAATAAAAATAACAACATAAAAAACAAGTAAACCCCAAATAAATCATAAAACCAACACCCAACATACAAACCCCCAGCCCAAAAACAAAAAAAAACAACTCAAAAAATTACAAACAAAAAAACAAACCCCCTACCACCAAACAACCCACCACACCACCCAACCCCCACCACAACACCCCCCCCCCCCCCCACACAAAAAAACACAAGCCCCGAAACACCCCCCCCCCCACACCCACTACAAAAAAAAAAAAAAAAAGAAACCCACCCCACAAAAAGTCCACCCCACACCCCCCCACCCCCACCCCCCCCACCCCACCACCCACCCCCCACCCCCCCCCCCCCACCGCCCCCTCCCACAACCCCCCACACACACTCCACGAACTACCCATAATCTACAACAGACCTCCCCATACACACAACAGCCCCGAATGAACGTACCTTCCCACTACCGAAACAGTCAAAGGTACGCACACAAAAACCCCAGTCATCTTCCACCTCCGCCTACCCCACCGCCACCACCAACCCGTCAACGATCTGCTGAAAGCGGGCCGCAACCCAACCCCCTCCAAGCAATGGTTCGCAACAGTTGGACTATCCTCAGTCGTCTTGACCTTCAATGCTCCGCACATACCAACACCCGTACTGGCACTGGTCAACAACGGTTACGCGCGTGATTAGCACGACTGAATAATAAGCATGCCACGAATAAACCTGTCGATAACAATCTACCGACCTAAGAACGGCATCGAAAGCCCGCATCATCGTAACAACAATACAGCGTCGCGGTTAACCCTTAACAAACATAGGCCCATCCACAAACACATCTGTCAACAAAACCGCTGCCCAATTCCATCCACGTCCCAATAATTACAAATACGCAGCCCTGGCCACCAAAGCTCAATACAAGCATCCTTAGCCCTCATGCTTCTCACGAACAAACCATTATATTGAACAGCTAGAAATTTCGGGGGGGGAGGGGGTTAATAATACCAAATCATCACCCGCAGACAATAATACTCTAAACAAGAACATATACATCCGTGGGGGTAAGGAACGACCAGATCTGGAACATGTAACACCCCCCCCAAGGTCCAAGACCCCACTGCAGGACTAAACCATATGGGTTCCGAACCCAATCACGACCTAATAAATAAACCCAACCCCGTATCAAATAGGGAAAAACAAACCAATCAAACAGAATCAAAAATCAAACCCCCAACTAACCCCCCAAACCAAACCCAGACAAAAGAGAAAGCAAAAAACGAACCCACCCCCCCCACCCCCCCTAATACCACACACCACAAACCCCCAACCACCATTCAACCCACCACACCACCCAACCCACACACAACACCGCCCCCCCCCCCCCCCGCACAAAAAAACACAACCACAAACACCCTCCCCCACACCACACCCCTCCCCACACACCCAAACCCCCACCACACCCCCCCACCCCCTCCCCCCCCCCCACCCCAACCCCCCCCACCCACCACCCACCCCCCCCCCCCACCCCCTCAGTCCCCACCCACAACATCAACCCAACCCACCCACACCCACCACGTAAAGGCTCAAACAAATACTCTCAAATAAGTTATTCCTAAGACCGCGCGGCTAACCATAAAAAAAACGACACCTCCTTAAAAGGATTCACGGCATAGACGGCCGGCATAACAAGCGCAACTATTCAGGGAGCAGTATGTGGGCTTGGTGGCAATTGCTCCGCTGCGTCCTCCAAAACACGATAACGGGTCTAAAAACGGTACGGAGCACGTCGGAGAGCGCTAGCTTCAACGGGTCGTATTCACACCATAAACCGACTAAGAACTTCCAACAACCGTTACCATGCAGTATCAAAATAACAGCGGCGGGTTAACCCATAACAGTAATAGAGGTCAACAAAACCGCTGCCCAATTCCATCCACGTCCCAATAATTACAAATCACGCAGCCCTGGCCACCAAAGCTCAACAAGCATCCTTAGCACCTCAGGCTTCTCTCGAACACCAGTTTTGACGCGTAGTATTCGGGGGGAGGGGGTTAATAACCTACCAAATCACCTGACCGTCTGAAATAATACTCTAAACTAGACATATACATAAACAAGGTTTGGAACGGAAGATCTGGAACATGTTTCTAAGCAAGGTCTAGAACGGAGGTCTAAATCCCATATGGGTTCCGAACCCTATTCCGAACCTTATAAATAAATTCGTAATCAAATAGGGATAAACAAGATCAAACAGAATCAAACAAAAACAAACAGCAAACAGACAAAGACAAGCAAAACGAGTCAGTTGCGTAAAGCTAGTTATTCCGGACCTCTGACACCTATGGTTTCAGCCCAGATAGGCTAAAATAGGGCTCCACGAGGGAGGGTTCCATGAGGGTTGCCATGAGGTTCTGCGAGGGTTGTGGGAGGGCGGGGTGTTGTTGGGGATATCGCCTGAGCTTGTTTGTTTATTAACAGCCAAGTTATTTTGATTTAGACACGGGCTAAAATATTATTTTCCAATTCGAACAAGATATGTGGCACCGGATACCGCAGGCTGCCGGCAATGCGCCGCGAGCTTCGAGAGCTCAGGCCCGCCTCATCGAAGAGCTGCAGCCACCGATCCCAAGGCCAGACGTGCGGCAGGAAGTCCTCGGGGTCCTGGCCGAACCTCGGAACACATGGGAAGGTTTTGGTCAGGGAAAAACCACTCTGGGTGTTGTTCTTCTTTTTTCTTTGGGTTGGTTCTAAAGGGAAACCAACAGGAAAACCGAAGCCCATTTTGGGGATCCCGATTTGAAAGATGCGCCCATATGGATAAAAACGTGTGTTCAAGGAAATCCAGGAAAGCCTCTTAATCAGGGATCCCAAGACCCCTGGCATCCTTTAAGTCAGCTTCCAATGGGTGATTTGGACTGGTGTTTGGAGGTGTTCGGGTTCCCAGTTATCCTCTACAAAAAGGCTTGAAATCCACAAAGTACAACCAATGATCCTTTCAGTTTCACTGTAAACCAACCCAATGACAAGTACCCTCAAACATATATAAGCCAACAGTCATCTATTATATTGTCGTCTCGTTTGTGATGTTTTATGACAATGAATAAGGCAAATCATTATATCTGGAGAAACTCTAATATTCATAGACCGTATATAAAACAAGACGCACACACGGACACACACACACACACACACACACACACACACACACACACACACACACACACACAACCGCACACAACCGCACACAGACCCGAAACGTGACATGCATGACCCACGGCCATTCGGAGCCCCTGTTGGGGTTCTCTTTGGTTCCCTTGAAAGGTGCCGAATTCTTGCAAGTGGTTGGCTCTTGGGGCCGAATATCGAACATCTGCCCTCAAAATGCAGATCTCTGAGATCACGTTCTCCAGCTTGCTCCAGCGGTTGATGGAAGGCAAAAGTGATTCAACACACCTGCCTCACCGCAAAGCACACTTTTTTGCACCGCACCTTGCTGAACCCCAAGATGCTTCCACATTAAGCAAATGGCACTTGCGTGTGTCTCTTTCACCCCCAAATGGATTTTCGTCTCCCTTGTCGTGTCCTTTACAACCACGCAAAAAGTTGGTTCCCCCAAAAACCAAGCCACACCCGTTTGGCCAACCACGGCGCCTGGTTGGAACAACCTCTGGAGTCCCTTCTTGGGGCGGAGGGCCAAACCTTTGGAGCGCCGGGGCGCGGCCGGAAATGCTCTTGGGTCACCTGCCAGGCCAGCCGGGCGCTGGCTGCCTCTGCACCTCGCAGGGCGTCTTCGGATCCCCGGCTGAAAGTGACTCGCATCTAGGCGTTTAGTGGGCGAAATTTGGAGAAAAAAAACCAACTGAACCCAAAAGGAGTAAGTTCGGAATGAGAACCGAAGGGGATGGCTGGGAACCAACAAGTCAACTGTCCTCGCTTGAATTGTTTCAAGCTACCGATTATGGAAAAAACACAATTTTCTAGACAAACTCGCGATGAAGTGAAATTGAAACACAACCACATTATACAAACAGACGTGTTCAAGGGACACCAACATGACATCACCCATTTTCTGGCCTCCCTGCCCTGCCGACCAAACTCCCTCCTCCAAACCCCAAAGAAAAAAATATGCTCCCCAAATTATAGAAGCCCTGCCAAACCCTCAATACTCCAACCCCCTCCCCCCCTCCCCCCCCTCCCCCTCCTCCCCCCCCCCCTGCAGCCGTCAGGCCTGGCAGGTCCTCCAAGACCAGCACTTTCCGCGCCACGCGCCGGGCCTCCCGCAGCAGCGACCTCCGAGCCTCCAACGGCACGTGGTGCAGCACAAAGGCCACCACCGCCACGTCGAAGGCGCCGTCCTCGAAGGGCCAGTCCTCACCTCAGCGGCTCCGACCGGATGCGACTCAGGGGTTTGGCGAGGCGGGGGGGGGGCCTAAGCGGCTTGGCCGGTTTCCCATTGGTTTGCCATGGGCTTGCCATGGGTTTTGTATGGGCTTGCCCATGGGTTGCCCATGGGTTGCCAATCCTTGTGCTTGATGGTCGCGGTTCCCCTTGTGGTGTTGCACTGTGGGATTGCAGAGTGCCAGGGTTCTCAAAACGCCAGACGTTCTTAGGATTCGAAAAGGCATATGCCCCCTGAGGGTCAATCACCTTGGAGTCAGGGTCCCAACTGCATAGTGCTTCGAACATGGGGACAATGACAAGACTGTTGGACTTCGGTTCCTCAAAGTTGCTCAATGCAGCAAATGATCAGGCTCTCCCCCAGCCTTCCCACAAGGGTTTAACAGGTGGCTGCTTGACCCGCCCTTGGACTTTGGCTCCCTCCCGTGCGAATTCCCCCCCCCCATGTTTTTGCTGGTTAGGCTCAAGGATTGAGTTTGAACAACCCAGGTTTGTCTCTTTTGAAAGAAGTGTTCCCTGTGGTTTACCTTGGAACAACCTTTTGGGAGCTCCGCCCAAAGAACTCTTCTTATCAAAAACAAAATAACCCCCAGAAGAATGTGAATTCATCTTTCCTTTCGCCGCAACCCAAACGGAACGCCGCAAAAAAAAAGGGCTTCCCCCAGCCTTACAAAACGGCTTGATCTCTGCGATCCCAGCAATTCCTGGACTCCCCACCTTGGTGGTGCTCAGGGAGGGAATGAACCTGCGGCTTCCCTTAAAGGAAACCATGGGGGATACATTTTTCGGGGTCCTTCCATTTCTCCTTCGCCTTAGCGCACCCGCAAGCAACTGACTGGCGACGGAAACGCGCTGCCTTCGTGATGGATCACCTCTGCCAGGCGAAGCTTGGCCTTCGCCCTCGCCGCCAGCTCCGGGTTGGCCTCCAGCAGCGTCACCGCGGGAGGCGGCCCGTCCTCGGCCAGGATCTCTTCATCGTACGCCCAAGACATCAGCGAGCCATCGCCACATCCATAGTCCAGGATGCGCAAAGCCGCCGACTCTCCTGGGGGTCCCAGGAGGAGACACTTACAGAAGTTCAGAAAGCTGCACCTTCGGCGACCAACTTGCAACCCAAAACAGTAGCTTGAAGCCCAAGTCTCCTTTCAAGTAAGGCCTCAACGCTTCGAAGTATCTTCTTCGGGACGTCTCGGCTGTGCATTGCTCCGCAACTACTTGGGGGGTGCTTCTCAGAGCTTGGGCGGCATCTGCCTGCAGGGTGCAGCAAACTGCCGAGACCCCGCTTGCGTGTGCCGGGAGCTGCTCGATCTGCCACTTCAAATGAGGCAGCTGAAGAAATGCGAATGGCAGAATCTCGTCTTTGGACTCAGCCGTGGTGAGGAAGATGAACTTACCCCCAGTTCGCAGCACTTTGGCGATGGAGGCCAAGTTGATGATGAAGCTGTTTGCCAGGCTGAACGAGTGACCCCCAAGCGGGTAGAAGCGATTGCACCATGCCTCCCAGCCTGCAGCCAGCACCTCAACAGGGTTGCTGAAGTCTAACCCCGACCAAAAACATCATGATCAGGACATTACCCTTGAATTGCACTTTGAATCCACCCCACACAACGAGTCACATCATGGTTCGCGAGCCGCTCCTCATCAGACTGCACTTCCAGCACCAAATCATAGCTGTCGGGCTGCAGCTCCCGCAAGAGTTGGGGCTCCCCGGTCTCCCCAGCCGCCACGCCTTCGGAATACTGGATCGATTCCACGGGAAAAAAACGGCTGGAAAACGACCAATTCTCTGCCACTCCCTTGATGCATGCCTCAATTGCGTGAGACAAGAAGGAATGGGAAATCAGATTCCTTCATCCACTGGAAACCTTTCCAATGACTCACTGGGTGCCCGATTGGAGAAGGACACCTTCCATTCCCATGCCAAACTTGTCTGAGCGAGACTGGCAAAAGCTTCAATTGCTCCGGATTTGATTGGAGTTGAATGACAATCGTTGACCCCCTTGCCCAAATCTGCTCTTTCCCATGCGTGTGCCTTTCGTTGACACTATGCTCCCTCAATAAGCAGAAGGAACAAGGACCCCCCCGCCCCGAATTCTAGTTTGCCAATATGCTGAAAACAGAAGTAAGTAAGTAAGGAAGGAAGCAAGCAAGCAAGCAAGCAAGCAAGCAAGCAAGCAAGTAAGCAACTAACTAACTAACTAACTAACTAACTAAGTAACTAAGTAAGGGAGCAAGTAAGCTTAGTAAATAAATAAACAAAAACATCGGTCCCAAAACATACCCCCTTTGTTTTGAGGGGTTTCCCCTGTGAGTCCATCCCTGGCCTTTGACCCCTCCGATCTCCTCCTTGGGCCCAGCCAGCAGCACCTCCCCCCGCCAAACCGCTTCCGCGGCTTCTGCCAGCGCGGGATGAAGCGCCGCCAGCACCTGGCATCGCGCGCTGGGTGCGGGTTCTGAGGCTAGCTATGGAGGGAACAAGACCGCAAATGGCTTCGCGCTTGATGGTGGGTTTACCTGCAATTTGTAAGGCATCCATCCGTCCCCGATGTTTTTGCTTGTAGGGAAGCCGAAAGGCAAACCCACAGACAAATCTCTTGGAAGAGCCCATCAAGGTACCCATTCTGGGATTGTGGGGTCACATGAGTTGCTAGAAATTGGTGTGGAGGTACTAAAAGGACTTTCCCCCCCCCCCCCATTTAAACATCACACTGGAGGGAACTCCCATCAGCGCGGCTCATACGGGCCATCATGGCCATCCAAAAGACGCGGCAGCCCAGCCTCCCGGCCATCGGCGTGCCGAAGCAGCCGCGAGGCCCGCTTCGAGCGCCGAAGCCGCCGGGCGGGGGAAGCGCAAGCCGCCGCCGCCGCGGCAAAGGCCGCGGGCGTTACCGCGGCCGAGCGACCGCGCCCGGCCGGTTCGGCCGTTTTGGGGCGCGCCGCGCCAGCCGAGGTGAGCGAAGTGGGGGGTCGGCCATGGAGATCGGTCACGGGGATGGGATGCCCAAGGCTCATTTCGACAGGGCTGCGGCACCAAATTGCATGTTGCCATTTCTATTTGGATGTGTCACAAAATGGGTTCCGGAACCCCTGACATGGTTGGATTCCTCCCTAAAATTAACTTAAAAACGTGTATACCATCAAAGCAAGCGCACACACACACACACACACACACACACACACACACACACACACACACACACACACACACACACACACCCTTTGAGCAGTTGATTCCAGTTGCGTGCAGATTTTCTCCATGCCGACGTGCGCCAGCCAAGCGCTGATCGCAGCGCTCTGGGCTTGCAGCTCCCTTAGGAGCGAAACAAGGTCGCCGAGTCGGCGTCCGGCAAAGTTTGAAAGAGCTCTACTTCGGGTTTGTCTTTTTTGGGCAACCGCGGGCACCCTCTATTGGTCGGCTTTACAGGGGAGCCCCTTTTTTGGAGGGGGCGGGGGAGGGTCACTACAGAAAGACACACCCAGTGCCCTCACTTCGAGAGGATCTCGCTGATCTGAGTCAGGAAGTAGTCGATGTCCTTTGAGCGGATGTGGAGGTGAGTCACAGCCCGGCAGCGCCGCCGGCCGTCGGTGCACAAAATCCGCACGCCCCGTTGCCCGAGACTTGCCACGACTTGTGGCGCCTCGTCCACGTCGAAGAAGACTATGTTCCTTGACCAGACTTAGACCCCCTGCAAAAAACTAAACTTGCTTTTGGTTGAAAGAAAATTGAACAAACCCACAAAAGCAAAAGTCAAAACGCAAGTAAAATCTGGCAATGGTTCGTGGGAGCTGGAAGCACGTGCAAGCCCAAGGCTTTTAACCCAGCAGCCAACCGCGACGCGTTTTCCTCAGCTACCGACAAAAAAAGAGAAGTAAAGACAACTCCTGTAGCACAACCTCTTGTTCATCGGCATCCAGGGTGGTCGTTGTTGCCCCCTTTTGGGATATGTTTGGCATACGAAATTGGAGGAATCGGAGAAATCCTGGACTTTGGGCCTAAAGTTTGCTGCCCCGACAGTGATAGTCACTGTCGGGGCTCTTAGACAATCTTGGATTTGGGGCGGGGACATTCTGGAGCCATTATACTGGGGAAGTCCCGAAGGACAGCCCTCAATTTATTTGGCTGTGCTTATGAAGGCATCCTTTCGGATAGTCGCCTCTGGAGTGCCTGTTTTGGGGGGGGAGGTCCTATTTTGAGACATGACCGAGTGCAAGCTTCAGCCCAGCAGCGTGGTCCTCGTGGAGTCTCTCCAGGTTGTGGTCCAAAGCATACAGCTGGGCTGCTGCTAGCACGCCCACCTGGGGAGGTACCTTTTTTCTTCCGGCTCGCTGGTTGAAAACAGGTTTGTCTCAGAGGGGTTAACTAAAGTGGGTGACTTGCCGTTGGTTTTCCAAAACAGGGACCGCTGTAGGGACTCAAAAGCGCTTGGCTCCAGTATGGATTATGTTCCAAGGTTTTCTGTCCGCAGCTCTCGCATATGCAGCACGTAGCCCAGGAGGCCAGTAGGGAAGAACTCATTCGCTTCGGCTCTGGAAGCAAGCGCAAAGCACAACCAACGAACATTTGCCGTTTTCAGCTTTCTGATAGGATGTGTTGCATCTTTTCCAACATCAGGCAACATGGAGCAGAAGAGAGACAAAGCGAGACAGCCGTGGAGAAGACCCTTGAGACTTTGCCACAGCTCCGTCGCTTTAAATCGACAACTCATATAGACTTGCAAAGTTCAGTGGCCAACATCTGGCCGTTCCGTGGGCCAAACGCTACCCTCCCACCAATGGAACGGTTCGACGTGTGAGGGGTCCTGGTGTGGACCATTTCCTTAAGGGACCGGATCCCGTGTCCCGAACATTACCCCCCCCCCGCCTGCCGGAGGCCTCCGCCCACGGCCTTGCGCAGGCGCCGGGCTTTCGCGATGAAGTCTGTTGGGCCGCAAAGCACCGAGCCCACCGGCGCACCAAGGCCCTTGGAGAAGCAAATGCTCACCTTAGCGTTTCTTCGGCTTGGGGGTTGCTTGGGGGGAGTTGGGGGTGGGAGTTGCGTATTGGGGGTCGGGGTGGGGCTTGAAGGGGCTCGGGGCCTGGGAGGGGGGCTTGGTTCGGGATTGGGGAACGTTGCGGGCGATGCTGCCGCTATACCCCCCAAACGCAGCTGCACGCAAAAACCAAAACGGTACAGGCCAAGATGGCACGCGTGGTTTTCGCCCGTCCGAGTCATCAGCAGCAGACAAACATAACGCGTCACAAGCGCCAAGCAAGCAGCATCGACGAACCAGCCACGCCACCCACATGACGCAAGCTTGCGAAACCAAGCAATCTTCTGCCTAATCGCCCAGCCTTCATGCCAGCATAAATGCAATGAATGGGCCCACGTAAGATACTTTCTTGCCCGGAGCAATCCTCAGCTTGTCTAATATATAGGAGGCTACATAATTGGAATGAATTGCGCGAAAGGGTTTGAAACAGAGTTCCGGGAGAGAATAAACAGGCCCAATCCCACCAACAAGAAGAGATTGTTTAAGTCCCCCAGTCCCAAGGGCAAAGCGGTGCCCTCGGCTGGCACAACAAACGAACCAAAACAGGGTGCCTTTAACCAAAAGATGAATGAACCCAGCAAGGGCAGAGACAACCGAAAGCAAGCACAAAGCAGCAAACCAAGCAGGCAAACAATGCAGCGAAGCAAGCAAAGCAAACCAGAGCGCGACCCTACCACCCCAAGTCCTGACCCACAGCCAGCCGGCCCCACACCGCCGGCTGGCGAGCCCGTGGTGTCCTTTTCCACGAGACCGCCGCGGCGCCGTGCGCGGGTAGTTGACGCTATGGCAAGATTAGGATGCCGTAAGGAAAAGCTTGAGCCAGATGGCGCGTTGGCCATGGCAATGAGCAAACATGCTATGATAAAAGTACATGCCCCCAAAAACACCCCCCTCGACTGTACAAAGAGAAGGAGTGAATTTGGAAAGGCGCATTGGCCATTTGAAGTTGAATAGCACCAAATAAGGAACAAAGACGATTAGACTACCAGGGTTCGCGACCCCATACCCGGGCTCGCTTTGGAGCCCGGATCCCGCCACCACCCCGAATTACGGGTATGGGGCGGATCACGCCGGTAGCCAAATCAACCAAGAGAAACAAAAGAAGGAAAGAAACAAAGACTCAACTCCAAAATGGCAGGCATGAAATATCTGCGATGCAACCACATTGAATCATTAGATTCACGTGGATTTAGGGCTTGAATTATATTGTCAACAGCGCATTGGCTTGCTGGTTGAAACGTGGTGCATAGACCGAAATATCTCGGCCTTGAACGGCACCGTCTAGGCGCGCGATCACTCGAAGACAACCTCCAGGGATACCGCCAGCGGCATTCGGCGGTCCAGGTCCGAGTAGGACCTCACCGGCAGCGGTGCGGGGCATCCGTGATCCTCACCTCGGCACCTTGATGAGCTCCATCACCAGCAGCAGCAGCGGTGCAGGAGAATGCAGATCACCAGCGGCCATATACGCCGCCGAGGGTGACTGCCTTGCTGTGGCGACGCACACCTGACGGGTAATCGCAGCTTGCGCGAATAGCGCACAGCCACGCATGCAGATGAATTCTGAAATGGCGAAAAGCCCAGACAACGAAATACGACAAGGAGCATAGTCCATCCTGTGAATTCCGAAATGAAAGCATGCGCGCGTTGGCGCAGCCATGCAAAACACACAGACAGACTTCAGGTATTACCGATGTCGTCCGCCGCCGCGCCGTCCCTTCCCCTTGTTGACATTCCAGTCCCCAGGGGGAGGAGGCACTGTCTCGGCCAACTCGTCATCGTCACCCCAGGTAGGGGTATCCGGCGAGTTCGGATTCTCGAACTCGCGGGGATCACCCTGCATATGCGGCTGCCAACCCCGCGGCATTGCGCCGGGCCACATTTGCGGCATCATGCCAGCCATGGGCTGTTGCATGTATCCTCCCAGCGGGAAATTGGGATATATCGGACTTGGGAACGGGAAAGGAGCAGCCTGTGCGCCCCTGTAGCCCGACTCGCGAGCATCAGGCTGATACCCGCCAGTGGGAGTTCTCGATCTGGCGGATCCGCCACGACCGAACTGCCCTTGTTGGTAGCCGTATTGGCCACCCTTGCCTTTGTACTGGTCACCCTTGTGACCCTTTCCTGTAAATTGGTCACCTTTGTGACCCTTGCCGGAGAACTGGTCACCCTTGTGACCTCCACCCTTGGGCCAGGAGTGCGCAGGGGCATTGCCCTTTCGTTGATCTCCCTTTTCCCTGTGGTCAGGTCGCGGGGTAGCTGACCGATGATCTCCCCTAGGAGTGGCTGCCCGCCTATGGTGCTTCCCAGACGGCGGGTCAGCAAAAACAATGGCGCTTTGGCCATCGCGCTGTGCAGCGGGGACCATGTCAACCTTGTTATTTTCGACATAAATGTATGATATCCGTCCTCAATCCCGATGCGGTAGGCATCAAAAATATGCACAGACGGGTATAAAAAAAAAAGCAAAAAAAAAAAAAAAAAAAATTAAAAAAAAAAGAAAAAAATAAGAAAAAAAAAAAAAAAAAAAAAAAAAAAAAACAAAAAAAAATAAAACCAAAAAAAAAAAATAAAAAAAAAAAACAAAAATAAAAAAAAAAAATAATAAAACAAAAAAAAAAAATATAAACAAAAAAAAAAAAAAAAAAAAAAAAAAAAAAAAAAAAAAAAAAAAAAAAAACAAAATACAAAAAAAAAAAAAAAAACAAAATTAAAAAAAAAAAAAAAAAAAAAAAAAAAAAAAAAAAAAAAAAAAAATCACAACACAACGACCCAAACCACCCCTCACCCCCACCAAATGCATGAAATTTCGACTGCCCTTTCCTCGACATAGAACCGACCTCCATTTGACGCCCGCCTGTTGCGGTGCTCGACCAAAATATGTCAAGGAACAAGGCCATATAGTCCGGAATATCCGGGACGCCAGTATTGCTCTCCTCGATGAGCAGCTGTTTTGCTACCCACCGCTCGAGAGCCTCGTCACTCGCACGCACACAAGCGTGAGTGTCCCTTGAGGTGACTTTCACAACCTCCTGAAACGCAACCTGCACGGTATCCGCATTGGGATTGTGCACAACATGAGGCGCACAGCGCAAACCGGAGATCATACAGCTGACCACCTCGCGGATCGGGTTTACCGACGCCATGAGAGGAGCCCACACGTCAGTCTCCCCTTCATACCAGCTGTTGGCACGGACTGCCTTGAGTCCGTCCAGCCAAACTGGCTGCCCTCTCCTAACTTGGGAGCGGATGGTGCCTGGCACCCATTCTCGATAGAAAATCGGCAAATGGCAACCATTGCATAGAATGGTGCCATACATATTCAAATGCGCGCACCGAGGGCACCAATAGTCATGCATGGGAGCTTTGTCCCATGAAAATGACACCCCTCTCCGCGGTCCCTGGACATTCAATTCTCGGACCGCCCAGGGACGGATGTATATTACATCCCCTTCCTGGTGCAGATAACATGCGCGCCAGAAGGGCGCATGTGTCTCCTCTCGCACAGCAATCAAACCGCGTCGGGTTTTATAGATGCCGGCGGCTTCCTCGATGGCCATCCACTTTAGGTCAACGGCCACAACGACATGGCGCTTGTCCATGTATTTGACGCGATCGTCAACATAAAATTCGCCCTCATTATTGGGGCTTGGCAACTTGAGGAGAGGCACCTTTGCGCCCTCCAATCCAATCATGATTTCCCCCCTGCAGACCTGCTCAGGTCGCATGGGGAAAACCGTGATGGCGAATTTGCCGGGCCTCCGGATGCACCTCGTTTTGAGGGCGGACCGATACTCGGCCATCGTCAGCAGCACGTATCCCGTATAAGGGACCTCCGCTGCTCCCATCGGCCTAAGCAAAGGCCCCATAGGCGTTCGGTCACGCAGTGCCCAACGCTTGAAAACTTTGAACGGCACGTCCCTCCCGATTAGGGTGGAACGCGCAAAAAGCACCTCATTCGGGCGCACAACAGTCCCCCCCCCCCCCCCTCACGACACCCTGGGCAAGTGGAACTTTGGTAAGGGCCTCAAAGAGCGTTGAGATTAGAGTCATTGACATCCAACCTCCCAGAATGTCTGTAACCGTCCCACACAAGAAGGGAGCCGGCTCACCGGGCTTCACGTTCAACCGCGTTGGGTCAGTGTTGCCCGACAAAATTTCTAGCAGCATTTGCGACTCTCTGGCGCTTCGTCCAATCATCGCCGACATATCCTTAATTTCGGGGAAAAAATGGAAGATGTCGTTACCGGCAGGACAGGCGATTCTGCCTGCTGTCCCGCTCTGTGCATCAAACACAACCTCTTCACCCTCGTATGTGAGGTTGTAGGTGCTCGCAATCGGGCACACATCGGGCTTTGCCATCAGTGCCTCCTCTAGCGACGCACCAGCAGGGAGGACGCCCTGTACGTGCGCTTTGGTACCTATGGGACCAGTCCCCGCCGACATAAGCCGATAATTTTCGGCACGAAAGTATGGAAAAAGGCTCTTCATCCTCTCAATTTCCTCTTCAGTGGTACGCCACGCCTTTGCCTCATAGTAAGGCGGCTCCTGCTTTGAGGGCACTAGGTCGCGGTCGCCCATTGATGAGAACTTGTCCACATATGGGCCCATCCCATCATCATCTACGTGACTCTCGTGATCCTCATCCGAGACGTACTCCCTGGGCGGCTCGCCCAGAGCGTCCAGATCGACCTTACCAAGGTCGACCAACGCCGGAGAATCCAGGATTCTCTGGATCCTCATGAGCTCGTTTCTGAACTGCTCAAAGCCTCCGGGCTTTCCAGCTACGGAGGACGGCATTGCGCCCTCCCATGAGTCTGGAAACATGCACACATTCGTAGGGGAATACTCGTCATCGGAAATATCCCGATCACGCTCCCGTACATCGCTGATCAGTGTCACATCCAACAAGCCGCTTAGGGCCTCAGGACGCGACGCTTTCGCCGGATGCGGCTTTGCGCTCTTTGACGCTACAGCAGTTCTTCTCATCGCCCTTACTCCCCTCTCTATCCACCTCCATCGCGGACGGCTGTGCGCTCCCCTCCGTCCCGCCCATTGGCGGCTCAGGGGGTTGGACAGGGGATTCCTTTGTGCGGGCTTTGCCGAAATACTGTCCTGGGATCTGCACGCTCCCAATGGAGCCACCGCCAGTCTCTCTTGGACGCTTGGCGGTGTGAGCCGA